GGAGGAAAAAGGACCATATTTTAGCATTCACTCAATCAAATGCACGTTCCATTTTGCAACAAGCTCTGTTCACATTAAATTTCTTGAATCTTCCGCAGGGAGATATCCTGTCCCGAGCAGAAAAGCAGTTCATAGAGGGAGAGATCGCTCCCCCTCCATTAAATGAACATATATGGTTTAAACCAACCGCAGATGCAGAATGGTGACCGGGGCTATTGCTTTATAGAGGGAAGGGTTATGCTTATGTCTCCACAGAGGATGGACGGACCTGTTCCTGGCTCCCCGCGCGATGGATCCGGTCGAGGGCCAATTCAAACGGCACCGTATCCCACCAGACGACGGATGGGGAATCCAGACCAAGATGAACTTCCATTACAGGCCATGGCACATCTGAATTTGGGAGGACGACGTCGCCGTTGGCAGATATTTGCTACTGCTTTGCCGACTTGGGGGCAAATTAAAAAGCTTAGTGGGGAAGGGCAAAAAATCCTGCAGCGAACAGGGAAGGCTTGTACACCTGACAATTTATTTTTGGCTATGTGTGCCTTGCTTACTGTATCAGATGCCGCTACGTTGGCCAATTTACTTCTTAATCAACTTAAGGGACTAGATCCAAAAGGTATTATTCAAAGTTTGGGGCATACTGCTGGAGGAATGGGATTTGTATTGTTGATTGTTATCTTATGCTTTATGCTGTTGCATTTTTGCTATCTAAAGCCTTCCCAGAATTCTATGGCCATCCTTTGGAGGGCACTTTTATTAAAACAAAAGAAAAAAGAGGGAATTGAGATGGTGTAGGCTTGTAGACCCCTTGCAGGCCAGGGTCATTTGAGGACTGCACTGAGGTTAAGGTCGGCCAGGCAGGCCTAGGCCAGGAGGAGAAAATGTTCTCTTCCCCTTACCTCATGTTGCAAGGCCTAATTGCCTGGACCAGCAGGAAGTGGCTCTTGCCTAGCTTAAAGTGTATCTCTCTAAACAGAAGTGTTCTTTCTAAAGACAAAGAACATGTTGTCTCCAAAGGAAGGATGGCTAAGAGAATTCTTTTTTCTGCAAGCATAAGCAGGATGTATTTTGTTCTTATTGCATTTCGTGTATATTTCACTTCACAGATGTTGGCTTGATACATTGTTATGTTTATCTGATCTCTGCGAGTATATAGCTATGTGAGAAATAAACGGCAGCATGCAGTTGCAAGTGCTGCCTTTGCTCTGCATCCCCTGTGTCCTGGTGATTTCGTAGACCCTTACCCAGGGACCCCAACGCACTAGACGTTGACATATCCTGACACACACAAAAATGGATATGCACATAACAAACTTTATGTATCAAAAGAAGTTTTTAAAAGTTTATAAGAATAAATGTATACATAAAAAAAAATCTTGAATAAAAAATCCAACTTTATACCTCAAGGAACTAGAAAAAGAAGAGCAAACTAAGCCAGAGACAGCATAAGGAAAGAAACAGTAAAAATTAGATCAGATAAATGAAATAGAGAACAGGAAAACAGGAGAAGAGATTAACAAAACTGAGTTGGTTCTCTGAAAAGGGAAACAAAATTGACAAACCATTAGCTAGATTACCCAAAGGCGCGGGGGGGAGGTGGGAAGAGAGAAGGAAAGAGAGAGACAAAGAGAGAATCCAAATAAAGAAAACTATAAATGAAAAGGAGTCATTCATCTGATGCTACAAAAATGTAAAACATCTGCTCGCCCTCTGACCTGCTGCCTAACGCCAGTGCATTCTGCGCCCCCTGACCATGCCCACGGGCGTGTCCTGGGCCACCTATCTGAAAATGTTTGCTGCCAGCCTCCTGACCATGTGCGCCGGGGCCGGAGTGGTGCACAGGTACTACCAGCCCAACCTGACAATACCTGAAATTCCACCAAAGCCTGGAGAACTCAAAAAGGAGCTTTTGGGACTGAAAAAGAGACAACATGAACCTCAAATTTCTCAACAATAGAAACCTCAAAATACTTAACTCTGCCAAGAACTCCGTGAATAATACTATAAGTATTAAATATATTTTTAAAGTTTATTGAGTCAAACTGCTTGTCTTTAAGCATCTAATGCAATGCTAACTGCAAGTGATGCTCAGGTGTTAACTGATGCATTGAGATTTAATTATGGATCGACCAGTATTTCTTGAAAACTGCCAAAGTTTATATCATCAGCTTTTTGAATGTATTTGAATAGATACTTAGTCTTGGATATCATGTGAGAAAGAATATTTACAGTGTTTCCTGCCCTTATAATTCTGGTTTATTTCTCTGAATAAGCTTGACTATCATGGCAAATGGGAATTATAAATTAACTATAATAAAAGTGTCATTGACAATGAAAAAAATGTAAACATCAGTGACAACTATGAATAATCATATGCCAACAAATGGGACAACCTAGAAACATACAGTCTACCAAGAATGAATCATGAAGAAATAGAAAATCTGAATGGACCACTAACATGACTAGAAGTCCTAGCCAAAGCAATCAGACAATAATAAATAAATAAATAAATAAATAAATAAATAAATAAATAAATAAATAAATAAAGGCATCCAAATCAGACAGGAAGAAGTAAAATTACCTGTTTGCAGATGACATCATCATGTATATAGAAAATCTTAAAGATTCCACCAAAATTTGTTTTAGAACCAATAAACAAATGCAGTAAAATTGCAGAAAGCAAAATCAACACACAAATATCAGTTGTATTTCTATAGACCAACAGTGAATTATCTGGAAAAAAAAAAGAAAATAATCCCACATACAATAGCTCAAAAACAATAAAATACTTCCAAATAAATTTTACCAAGGAGGTAAATGATTTGCACACTAAAAACTCTAAGATACTGATGAAAGAAATTGAAGAAGACATAAATGAATGGAAAGATATGCCTTGCTCATAGATCAGAAAAATTAATTTTGTTAAAATTTCCATAATTCCCAAAGGCATCTATAGATTTAATGCAATTCCTATCAAAATTTCAATGGTGTTTTTCATAGAAATAGAATAAAACAACTCTAAAATTTGTTTGAAACTTCAAAAGACAATGAATAGCCAAAGCTATTCTTTCCTAAGAAGGACAAAGCCAAGGCATCACAATTCCGGACTTCCAGCTCTATTACAAAGCTGTCATCATCAAGACAGCATGGTACTGGCACAAAAACAGACACATAGATCAATGGAACAGAACAGAGAGCCCAGAAATGGACCCTCAACTCTATGGTCAACTCATCTTTGACAAAGCAGGAAAGAATGTCCAATGGAACAAAGATAGTCTCTTCAACAAATGGTGTTGGGAAAATTGGATAGCCACATGCAGAAGAATGAAACTGGACCATTTCCTTACACCACACACAAAAATAGACTCCAAATGGTTGAAAGACCTCAATGTGAGACAGGAGTCCATCAAAATCCTAAAGGAGAACACAGGCAGCAACCTCTTCGACCTCAGCCGCAGCAACTTCTTCCTAGAAACATCGCCAAAGGCAAGGGAAGCAAGGACAAAAATGAACTATTGGGACTTCATCAAGATAAAAAGCTTTTGCAAAGCAAAGGAAACAGTCAACAAAACCAAAAGACAACAGACAGAATGTTAGAAGATATTTGCAAATGACATATCAGATAAAGGGCTAGTATCCAAAATCTATAAAGAACTCATCAAACTCAACACCCAAAGAACAAAGAATCCAATCAAGAAATGGGCAGAAGACATGAACAGACATTTTTCCAAAGAAGACATCCAAATGGCCAACAGACACACGAAAAAGTGCTCAAAATCGCTCGGCATCAGGGAAATCCAAATCAAAACCTCAATGAGATACCACCTCACACCAGTCAGAATGGCTAAAATTAACAAGTCAGGAAACGACGGATGTTGGCGGGGATGCAGAGAAAGGGGAACCCTCCTACACTGTTGGTGGGAATGCAAGCTGGTGCAGCCACTCTGGAAAACAGTATGGAGGTTCCTGAAGAAGTTGAAAATAGAGCTACCCTATGATCCAGCAATTGCACTACTGGGTATTTACCCCAAAGATACAAAAGTAGGGATCCGAAAGGGTACGTGCACCCCGATGTTTATAGCAGCAATGTCCACAATAGCCAAACTGTGGAAAGAGCCAAGATGTGCATCGACAGATGAATGGATAAAGAAGAGGTGGTATATATATACAATGGAATATTATGCAGCCATCAAAAGGAATGAGATCTTGCCATTTGCAACGACGTGGATGGAACTGGAGGGTATTATGTTGAGCAAAATAAGTCAAACAGAGAAAGACATGTATCATATGACCTCACTGATATGAGAAATTCTTAATCTCAGGAAACAAACTGAGGGTTGCTGGAGTGGGGGGTGGGGTAGGAGGGATGGGGTGACTGGGTGATAGACACTGGGGAGGGTATGGGCTCTGGTAAGCGCTGTGAATTGTGCAAGACTGTTGAATCTCAGATCTGTACCTCTGAAACAAATAATGCAATATATGTTAAGAAAAAAAAAAGAAGAAGGTAGCAGGAGGGGAAGAATGAAGCGGGGGAAATCGGAGGGGTAGACGAACCATGAGAGACGATGGACTCTGAAAAACAAACTGAGGGTTCTAGAGGGGAGGGGGGTGGGAGGATGGGTTAGCCTGGTGATGGGTATTGAGGAGGGCACATTCTGTATGGAGCAATGGGTGTTGTGCACAAACAATGAATCATGGAACCCTACATCTAAAACTAATGATGTAATGTATGGGGATTAACATAAGAATAAAAAAAAAAGAAGGACAAAGCCAAAAGCATCACATTTCCTGATTTCCAACTGTATTATAAAGTTATATGGTTTGGATTACTATCCCAAGCAAATCAGAAAGTGTGTTGGGATTTAACTTGTATCACTCATTCTAAAAAACATTTTTTTAAAAAAGCAAATTTGGTAGACCTCTGATGAATCTGGAAGGCAAATATTCCTAATGAGTATGAAGCCCAAGCTCCTTTTTAGGTAATCCATGAGGCTTTCAGTATTGCATGGTGTGGGAGGGAGGAAATGGAGCAAGAGAAGGCTCTACAATAGGTCCAGGCTGTAGTGCAAGGAGAACCACCACATGAGAGCTACAGCTCGAGAGACCATATTGTCCTGGTTTATGAGTAATTTTCTTTATTTTTAAAGATTTTATTTATTTATTTGACAGAGAGAGAGACAGCGAGAGCAGGAACACAAGCAGGGGGAGTGGGAGAGGGAGAAGCAGGCTTCCCGCTGAGCAGGGAGCCCGATGTGGGACTCGATCCCAGGACCCTGGGATCATGACCTTAGCTGAAGGCAGATGCTTAACGACTGAGCCACCCAGGCGCCCTATGAGTAATTTTCAATAGTATTCCCTTTTACTCTCAAAAGCATCCTAACTTTTACATCAACATGGATGGGACTGGAGGAGATTATGCTAAGTGAAATAAGTCAAGCAGAGAAAGTCAATTATCATATGGTTTCACTTATTTGTGGAACATAAGGAATAGCATGGAGAACATTGGGAGAAGGAAGGGAAAAATGAAGGAGGGAAATCGGAGGGAGAGATGAACCATGAGAGACTATGGACTCTGAGAAACAAACAGGGTTTTAGAGGGGAGGGGGGAGGGGGGATGGGTCAGCCCAGTGATGGGTATTAAGGAGGGCATGTACTGCATGGAGCACTGGGTGTTATACGAAAACAATGGATTGTGGATCACCACATCAAAAACCAGTGATGTATTGTATGGTGACTAACATAACATAATAAAACTAAAAAAAAAAGAAAAAGCATCCTAATATAGCTATAAATTATATGGTCACCCTGATTGTGCCCTAGAAGATAAAAGGCCCATGAAGCATCTGTAGAAGATAGAGTGCTGTGTGGAGGATCTGTCAAGCTCCAGTGGGGAAATGTGAGTGCAAGCTGACAACCATTCTCTACATGAAAAGGGCTTCTAGCTTGCTGTTGATCTCTGGTCAGACTAAGAAGCTGATTATAAACCACAAAGTAACTAGATAACTCGAGCTGCCTATCATGAAATGAGTATTATCTGATCTACCAAAATCATAACATTGGACATGCTATGTGACAATCCATGTTTAAATATAAATGTCATCCACAGGACGAGGCCTGACCAGGACAGAAGAAAACATGTAATCCATTTGGGGGTGAGGTTCCAACCTACTTTTAGACACAAGTGAAATGCATGTGCCAGGCTCAGTCTCCTGTGGTGTCTTACAGATTTACTGCATCTCCCTCAACCCTCACACACAGCCTCAGGAGACATTCCCTGTGGTGTGAGAAGTTCTCAGTTAACAGTGGACATAGGATTACAAAGTCCAGACTTGGTTAAAATTGAGACAGCACAGAAGTGGACTGTTACTGAATCTGAGGTTTGGCCCTGCTACCATTTCATTCTTCTTGAAAACACACCTACCTACACTGCTCAACTTAAGAAATAAAGCACAATATCATCAATACAGTGTGGAAGTATCATCTTTACTCCTGCACAATTGCAGTACCCCTTGTGAAAGGTGATCACTATTATGAATTTTGTCTTTATTCTTTATTGTTCATCACATTTTTTTACATTGTAATATACCCTGACATAATATGAAATAAGATGTTGTAGGTATTTAAACTTGAAGTATACGGCATTAGACGTATTTTTCTGCAGCTGGTCATTTCAAGCCTTGTTAAGAAGAATAATTATGCATTAAAAATCATTGTGATCATTATCTATGGAATGTACAAAAACATATGGCCCCTTTTAGGACCTATTCTCACAGCGGTTCCTATCACATCCTTCACCTGCTGCCATTCTGGGGGAGTGAATGATGCTAATTACTGACAATGTCTGAGGACTGAGATAGCAAGAGCATTGAAGAGATGGCCCAGGGGCACCAACACTAAGGGAAGGGTCCACAAGGGACAGGCTCAGGAAGGGGGACGACCTACTCAATAAGCCTTCCACAATAAATGGTGCTTAATTGCCTCTTTCTTCTTTGAAAGAGATGACCCCAGAGGTTACATCACCATGTGAACAGAAATGAAATATTGGAAACTTCAATAGCTTTACTTAGCATGGGGACAAAACATCTCATCAGGTCTCTCTTCCAAGTATGACAGAATCCTTGGGGACCTGTGGAAAATGAGCTCCTCACTCTCAGTCCCTGTACTCAGCCAGTTCAATAATGAGGACCCGAGGGTCTACCTTCCTACTCAGGAAGAAGTGCATACTTTGAAAATCTCCCTAACTAGGTATCTAACTTTAAACAACAAACACTGCTCTTTAACCAGGTCCACAGGGATGTCCTCACCATTCTGGGAGA